TTAATAAGTCGAAAGGAAATGTAAACAGTTTCACGAATCCGAAATACATGTAATTTTTCTGAGTGAAAGCTCCGATCTTGACATTTGGTAAAAAAAAGAAAAACGAAACAAGCGAAGAAATTTCTTTTCAATTAGTTTTTCATTATGGCTTTACACTGATATAATGCACTACCGTGTATGATTTAAAACAATCAGATAATACTCGTCGAGTAGTTACGTTACTAAGTAATTATATAACACTATTGAGTAATTTCAGGAAAGAGGACTATAATAACCAAGGTAATTTTTCGAAAGATCAAACACTCGCTACGTTGTTTAATATACAAAAAAGAGGGCACTAAGAAAATATTTTGATGAAAGGTCAATAATATAGTAGTTATGTAAGAATCAAGGGATGAATGTTGTGCATAAGTAAAATACAAAGTGTAAGAGACTAGAAAATAGTTTAAATAATTTTAAAGGAAAGGGTTTCATCAAAATTCTGCTAGCAACTCACTCCCATACCGATCGCACCGGTAGCGAAAGTGGTTGTACAAACGTCTTTTGGATTCGAAGGTTTGGTTTGTGAACATGGATTCAGATTGCTTCAGAAATGTGCAAAAAATGAACTTGTAAACCATGTTGTATATTTAATGGAATATGGTAGATAACTTTAGAAGCTTTATTCAAGTAAACTTGATGACTTGTAATTACCAAATGAGCGAGAATAGAAATGTTAATCATTCTTACTTGTCCTTTGCTCAACCAAGACAGTAGATGTGCTGCTAGGCGATGACGGACTTGCCGAATTGTGCACTCTTCTGAACTGGCTCCATAAAAGTAGCTGAATTGGTAACTACATTTGGGTGTCGTGAATCCAGATACGTTTTTCGTTTTTTTTCCTTTTTTCCATAGTATTCAGCTATTATTTTTCACTTTAAGTTCCTCATAACTATTATTAAATTGTTATTTACTCCAAAGATATCAAATGGAAAACTCTTTTAAACGTTTAATCAATCAATGGTTTTTATTCTATTATGCTTGAAAATTTCAAGCAATCTATAATTTCATAATAAATATACTTTTTATCATGTCCCAACGAGTAGCAAAATTGTGTTTCTAGCGTTTTTCGTGACTTTATGTGTGCCACTTCTTCATAGTAAATAAATAACCAAATTAAATTAACCCAAATTTAAATAGTACGAAAGAAAAAATACAGAATATTTTTTGTACAATGAAAATCACCTATAATTCAAGCACTTACTATTTTCCAGTGGTCTAATTTATTTTTTATATCATTACAGATGATACCATACAGTTTTAATGAATAATATAGAAGAAAACTAGCCTTTTTCCAAAAATATTGTTCTTTATTTATGTATACGAGTTACGATTTGTTTACTAAACTGTTGATAATGTTATTGTTTACTTGAAAATCTAAAGAGTACGATTGAAATACTGTAAATCAATTTTATTTATAAATTGTTATGACTGCATCATCGATTTGTTATGTTTGTGTCGCTTAATACTTATACCTGTATAACGAAGAACCATTACAGTTCTCTCGACGCATAGTAACACATTACATTACACGACGACCCTAGTCAAAAATATACTCGTTTATATAGTGATTTATACACTCATTTTGATTCATAATTAGGATGAAATCACATATATTTAGAATAATCATTGTTATAACAAACCTTATTCTCCATGTCATGCAGAGGATAATTCATGTTAATTTAATACAAGAATATTATATCTGGAATAAAACATCCCACTCAAACAAACACTAGAACAAATCGTACACTGAGTCATCACCACAGTAAATTAAAAACGAAAGTAATCCTGAACAAAAAATACTGTGAGTAAATGAATGTAATTTTGCTTTTTCATCCCTATCATATTATAAATGTTATAAATGAATATACTAGAAAAACTTAAATTTCTCACTATTCAATAACAACATGATTACAATGTGTTTTTTTTAAAGTTTAAGCAACTGTGAAGTAGTGAATTAGACAGAAGTACGATCATTAGTAAGAATTAGTAAATAATTTATCTAATATTAACTTACCATTACACTTGCATAACTGCTGAATCATCATACTTGATAATTCAAGAGAATTTACATTATCATATAATAGAAGTTTAGTTTTTATATAACAAATAACCTGGTCATTTAATTGACTTTCTATTATTTTAATGACGACATTTAAATGCTTCGAATGAACAAGATTAAATTTAGTTTTACTAATGGAAGCTTAATATATTGACAGATAATTCCCATTTAAACATTAAAATTAGAAACACGAAGTTCAGCGAAGGGATCTCTTTTCAACGAATTTATTATCAAGCTGTACAATCGTATATATATGAAAATTTTGTTTTTGTAAAAGTACTAATTCCTTGAGGAAATGTGAACACAATTAACCAAGATGAGGTAATAGAATGATTATAATACGAATGATAACAACAGATTTAGCGAATATAATAGGATGATTACAATTTTTTTTCGTCATAATAATTAAAGGTCATAGAGGTGTAAAAAATAAATAAGGTGATATGATGAGCATTTACGAATAAAATAATGAGAATATAAGACATAAGTAAAGGGGAGAATGCAGTAATAACAGTAATAATAAAAATCCGAGTTGGAAGTGAGCGCTGGCTACGGCCAATGTACCTTGCGCCACAAGAGCAGGTGAACTGGTAGATACACATAGAGGCGACCAGACGCGGAAGCTTATCTTTTGTGGATACAGAAAATTAATTCCTACTAGTGAAGGATATTCGCAGTTTAGCCGCATTAAATGTTCTTCTAATCGTCGTTGTTAGACGATTTTTGATTACGTCTGATGTTCGATCACCTTTAAATCCCAGATTTATATAAAGGTTTTTCTTCGGAACGAAACAACTAGAATTATTGTCCTAACTACTTCTATTCATATTCTTTTCTATGAAACGTTCTGGTTAACCATTTGTCATCAAGGTTTTCTTGAGGAATGCCAGTTCGTCGTTAATGCATTCCGTACTGCATATTGGATGTATTCGATAACATAAAGAATGGATGAGGTTTCTCTTTCTACTCAATATATTTTAGTTTCTTTTATATGTAGTAAATAAACTAGGTTTCGGTAGCATTTACCATTCATCATTAATTCTATGAACATAATATTTAATCTACATTCATTGTATTCATATATCCGATTATTAAAAAGCAATGATAATAAGATGTTTCTATATTGAAGTAAAACTGTCATGAAAATATGCAGGATATTTACTTGACAACTAGAAACAAATACATTATTTTTTTGTTTTTTTTTTAGGTATATCGATAATTGTGAGCAACTGTCGTTTTTCTCAGTTTTCTTCTTTCTTTTTTTGAAAAAAAGTTTGTTTTACATTATGAAATTTCATAATGGTACATTTTAACCATAGAATTTTCAATAACTAGAACAAATTTAAAATATTCACATTTATCATTTATTATTTATTTTACATTATTCATAAACTTATCTGTTACGCAATCATGTTTCTTTATAGAATAAATAATAATATTAATTAATAAACTCTTTCGGATGGATTTTGTGGATATTATTGTAATTTCAATGGTAAAGATCATGAGTCAGTTGAAGCTGGACCATCATGGAAAACCTGGAAGCACTGGATGACCGTTTCGTCCTATTTTGCGACTCCTCAGCAGTGCGCATCCAAGATCTCGCCCCCTGCGAGATTCGAACCCAGGACCTACTGGCTTCGCGCGCGAGCACTTAACCAACCAGACCACTGAGCCGGCATCCAAAAGTGTTAATGTCTAACTCCAGCTAGTAAACGAAATTGAGCGACACATCCACCATTGTCTTCAGTGAGTCACTATCTCTCATTTATTATTCATTTTACATTATTCATAAACCTATCTGTTACGTAATCATGTTTCTTTATAGAATGAATAATAATATTCATTAATAAACAATTATTATTTGTGTATATATGTAGTGAGATGGAGTTCATTATAATAATTAAATGTCAAACAAATATAGTACTTCATAGGTTATTTATTAGTTTATTTAAGAAATGTTATATTGTTACAAATACTATATGTAATGAAAAATAAAGTAATCAATAGTTAAATTTATTTTATGGAATATTTATTTTTATTTTTAGAAAGTTTATTTAGTGTAGATTATTTTGTCATGATAATGTTATGTCCCGATAAGCATAATGAATGGTAACTTTCGGGATCCATTTATGGACCAATACTATAAGTATATTTTTATCGTATAATTGTTATGTAACTAAACGATTCATATCCGTGTCCCTCTTATTATGAGCTTTATTTTGACCTATGAACTATTACTATAAGATTTAGCATTCTTAAATCATGCCCTGTCTATTAATTACTACCTCCCTTATTCACAGCCACATTTGGCTAATTCTTGTACAAATGTTGTTTCATATTTTATGTCACGGTGTGGTCCGTCTGGTTGGTATACAAACCGAGTATGTTTGAATTAAATGATTCATATCGCAGAGACTGAGATTGGTGTTCTGAACTTAACTGGTTTGGCTAGGCAGGAAGCAGGACAGCTCGTACATGTTTTTTGGGTCATTAGTCCGATCGATAATTCACTGCTCTCTAATTGGTGGTATCATTATGTTATACATTAAAAAGGCACTCAGGCCACAAGTTATAACAGATAATAAAAAAAATTAGTTCTGATATTAATAACAGTAATTGAATAATGCTACACAAATTCCATCTATCAGATTGAATTATCGTTATGAGGCAATTGCCTTAATATCTAAGACTATTTGTGTTATGACCTTGGATCGCTTTTACCCCGTGATACTTGTTATGACTTGGCCTTGGACTGTCTAATCTAAATTATGACCTTGACGCGCTAGGCTGAGTGGCTTAACCTTGAGTCTAATACGCGTGAGTTCGATTGGGGTAGAGAGAACTATTCTAAATCCTGATTGGTTGGCAAGCACGCGAGTGAAAGAAGACAAGACAGTTCGAACACTAAACTCTGGATTCTCTGAATTCGAATTACTACAAAAATGTACATGAATAAATAAGTGCATATCTTGACCACGACGTAGGATAATTTGGAAAAATACAGTTGTGCCCGAAACAGGGAATTAGGGTAGAAAATATAGTGCAAAATATAATGTTTAAATTACAATATTTTTGGAACAAAAAAGGGTATGCTAGTGAATGATACATAGAACGAAAGCTCGTGTTATGTAGAATAAGATAGGGACAAAAATAAATATAAGTGTTTTGCAGGTTTTGAATGAAATGCAATAACGTCCCAAGAAAGTAGCTTTCGTAATTGTCTGGGCTTCTTAATTCCCCGTTCATAACACCTTCCCCCTTAAAAAAAAATAAAAAAAAATATGGTTAGTTACTATATACAGGTAAGTGCTGAGATATCATCATTGATATCTTCCTTCGGAAACGTATGTTCTCCTCTTCGGGTCTACCTGTAGAATATCTGGTCTTCTGCGTTTCCGTGTTGCTTTCCTAATAGGACCTTGTTCAGGTTGCGTGGTCTTCTGAGTCGCTGAGCATTTTATGTCAAAACTGTCTAGAATGATTCTCCACATTGAGTCTAATTTCTCGGTTTTCTGTGAAGTGCCAGCATTTTCCAGTATGTGGTTGACATGGCGTGTCCACTTCTGTCCTTCAACTTCCACCACATACATTACGTTCCCTTGTCTCTTAAGTATGCGTCCACTGGTCCATTGTGGAGGTGAATATCGGAAATCGCGGACGTATACTCTTTGATTTTTTTGGAAAATTCTGCGTTTTGCCCCATGATGGCGATCAAATTGGTTCTCCATCTTTCTGTTTCTTTTTCCGATGTCTATTTGCTGTGGTTTTATGGCATCGAGAGCAGTTCTTACTTTTCTACCAAACATAATTTCTGCTGGAGACATTTGATTTGGTGTTGATGGGTTTGGAGTTGTTCTATAGACCAAGAGAAAGTCATCAAGAATCTCCTCTATCTTTCCCTCCCCTTTTGCCTTTAGTAGCGCTCTTTTGAAGGTATCTACAAACCTTTCGGCCTGACCATTCGATTGTGGATGGTACGGAGGTGAACGGACATGTTTGACTCCAAACCTCTTGCAGAAATTTGAGAAGATGGAAGAAATAAACTGAGTGCCGTTATCTGTCACGAGAACATCTGGAACTCCAAAACGGGAGAATAACTGCCGTAGCTTCATGATAGTCTGTTGCGAAGTGATTTGATTTATAGGAAAAATCTCCGGCCATTTTGAATAAGCATCAACACAAACGAGGAAGTACGTACCCTGGAATGGGCCAGCAAAATCAACATGTATACGCGACCAAGGTTCTTCTGGAGATGGCCAGGAATGTAGTTCAGCTTTTCGTGGACACTTAGAAACCTCAGCACATTTTCTGCACGCACGCACGAAATCTTCGATGTGTTCATCGATATTAGGCCAATATACATAACTCCGAGCAATAGCTTTCATTCTTCCAGTACCTGGATGGGCTGTATGCAGTTGTTTCAGGACGAGTGAGCGTAAGTTATATGGAACCACTACGCGATCAGCAACCATAATACAGTCATTTACGATGGATAAAGATTGGCGTCGTTGATAATACTGTTTCAGTTCATGAGATGTTATACGTGGGGGCCAACCACGCTGGATAAATGTAGATAATCGTCTTAAGATAGGATCGCGGCGAGTGTGTTCAGCGATTTGAGCAGCTGTCACTGGAAGAATTTGTGTTGAATTAAACAACATTCTGCTTACATCATCTTCCACTGATATAGAAGCGATAACAGTATCTTCGTTTTCAAGCTTATGATTGCTTATTAAGCGCGATAATTGAGAAGAAGCAGAAGACTTTGATGTAGACATAACATTAGAAAGAGGTACATGAGATTCCGAAGTTTCACTAGCGCATACTTTGTCTGAAGTATTCGATTTGGAAATTTTATGAGAAAGCAATGAATCGGCGGTATTTGATTTGACATGGTGAGAACACATAACATTTGAATTGTTTGATTCAGAAAGATCATAAGAACATGTTTCATCAGAAGCATTTAATTCGTTAATATCCAGAGAGGATGATTCGTCGGAGGCATTTGATTTAGAAATATTATTAGGGATTTGGATAGACTCATAGGGAACATTTTGAGAACATACCTCATCTAATAATTTATTCAAAGTATCAACATGTGCAATCCAATCTAATCCCAATAGATCTAAATCGTGTCGATTTGTTAGATAACAAACATCTGTAAATTTACTTCCCATAAGTTGAACATTGCATAGAACCTCTCCTGTCAACTTTACTATGTCTCCTGACGCATTTCGGGCGACATGTTCCGTCGGTCGGATGGATGGGCATCCTAACTTGTGCCATGTGTTCTTTGAAATCAATGTGACATCAGAAGCAGTATCCAACTGAAGTCGTATAAGTTTTTCATTTACTAATAAATTTACAAATTTCCGCCTATTTTTAAATCCAACTTTAAAGGTTGCGAACGTGGTTTTAACTTGACTGTTTGATCGTTGCTTTGAATTCTCACTACGATGTTTAGTCTTGCGTTTATTTAACGAACAATGATCTTCTTTGTGGCCAATGCGATGGCATTTGCGGCATTTATGATTCTTAAACGGACAGAATTTTGCAAAATGCCATGCTCCGCAGAACCAGCATGGTGATGGGGGGTTGGCAGGTTGTTTCCTGCTTGTACAGTTTTGTTTCGATGATTTTATGGATCGGAGCGCATTAATTGAATCAGAACCGGAAGGTTTACCCTTCTGTTGCACCATCGCAGTGTCATGCTTGAGATTAAGTAACCGCTGACATTCGGTTGTAACCATTTGTAATGTCATATTTGGTTCTTGTTCAATGCGTGCCAACATTCTGGTACGGACATCTGTATCTTCTTCATTCTTTAGGCCACATATGAAAATCAAGCATTTAAACTGGTCCGCTGTGATTTCGTTTATTTTGAAGCGTTCGCATTGTCGATTTACCTTCCCGGCATACGTGAGATAATCGTCCTCTGGAGATTTTGTTATTTGGAAACATTTATAACGAGTATTAAAAAATGAGGACTGTTCATCAAAAATATCAGATAAAATCTGGACTGTATCTTTGAATGATACATCACGTGGATTTTGCGGCAAGATAAAATTCACATATTTATTATATTCCTGTGTTCCCAGTCTTCTTAAGAGTAAGCGGACTTTTGCTGCGTCATCAAGATGCGAGCATTCAATGCGGAAAATATCTTCACAACGGTGAAACCACGAACTGAAAATGATATTACCTTCAGGATCATACTGGAATTCAGAAATAGAATTTATGATGCTTTCATGCTTATCTGATTGACAAGCTGAGGACGACTGTAATGAGAACATTCGTGCGAATGCATCCAAAAGCTTCGTCTGATTTGCCTCATTTTGTGCTTGCTGCATTTGAAGAATAGTTTTAAGGTCATCCAATGAAACAGGCATTTTGTACTGGATCAATCAATAGGAAAGAAGAAAAAAAAAAATTCTCCGTCGCCAGTTGTTATGACCTTGGATCGCTTTTACCCCGTGATACTTGTTATGACTTGGCCTTGGACTGTCTAATCTAAATTATGACCTTGACGCGCTAGGCTGAGTGGCTTAACCTTGAGTCTAATACGCGTGAGTTCGATTGGGGTAGAGAGAACTATTCTAAATCCTGATTGGTTGGCAAGCACGCGAGTGAAAGAAGACAAGACAGTTCGAACACTAAACTCTGGATTCTCTGAATTCGAATTACTACAAAAATGTACATGAATAAATAAGTGCATATCTTGACCACGACGTAGGATAATTTGGAAAAATACAGTTGTGCCCGAAACAGGGAATTAGGGTAGAAAATATAGTGCAAAATATAATGTTTAAATTACAATATTTTTGGAACAAAAAAGGGTATGCTAGTGAATGATACATAGAACGAAAGCTCGTGTTATGTAGAATAAGATAGGGACAAAAATAAATATAAGTGTTTTGCAGGTTTTGAATGAAATGCAATAACGTCCCAAGAAAGTAGCTTTCGTAATTGTCTGGGCTTCTTAATTCCCCGTTCATAACAATTTGCTTTACCGTTTGATTGTTGAACCGATTGGAATGAAATCCTATAGTAAGATACTTAACACATGAGACTTATTAGAAATGGACTTGACCAACCATGGTATAACGCAGGCTCTCAGTGGAATTTTCACTTGTTTCATACAGATTTATAACCGTAAACGTTATCTTTAGTGTATTTGATAAAAAGTTAAAGTTATATTAAGCTAAATCATTTACAATAGTTGGTTGCTGCTGGAATTCTATTTTATAGTCATCGAATTACAAAGTTGGTTCGTCCCATCAACTAAATATTTGTTTGACAGAATAAATAAGTAAACAGTTCACTTTTTTAATGGATACTGAGAGAAAGAGACATAGGAATCATCAACTCTTGCCAAAGGAATATTACATCTCTAGGTAATAATTATTTAACAATTAGACCAAATATTTACATTTTTGCCGTTGTTTTATTGAAGTTCATTTAAAATAAACAAATTTCCAAGTGAATAAACTTTCTTTTAACATTTATTGATTGAACAACATGGAAAAAGAGGAAATGTTACTCCATTTCGACAATACTGTAAATTAGTAAACACAACTATTCACTAAAGTCATATGATAATAGATGTAGAAGATTTTTAAACATTTAATCATAATAATATATAACTAATAGTTTCTGATTTTGATGTTTGGATGTTAACAAACAATAGACAGTGATAGCATATTCTGACTCTTTATTTTCATTCATTTTATTCTGTATCAATGAATTCATCCGGTTTTAGTTTTAAGTCTTTTTATGTCATATTAGTAACAAATTTCTAGACATATATATATATATATATATATATATATATATATATATATATATATATCAGAAGGGGTTTTGAGGATTTTATGGTAATTTTAATAGTTGAGACCATGAGTCAGTTGAAGCAAGACCACTGTGGAAAACCTGGAAGCACTGGATGGCCGTTTCATCCTATTGTGGAACTCATCAGTGCGCACCTAGAGGCTGATCGTTTGCGCGCGAGACTGGAAGTTCCTGAGTTCGAATCTCGCTAGGCGGGATCGTAGATGCGCACTGCTGAGGAGTCCCACAATAGGACGAAATGGCCGTCCAGTGCTTCTAGGTTTTCCATGGTGGTCTAACTTCAATCGGCTCATGACCTCAACTAATATATATATATATATATATATATATATATATATATATATATATATATATATATATATATATATATATTCACAGCAGAATGAATTTGTAGTTCCTGCTTTATTTGCAAAAAAACATTTACTAAATACTTTAGGATTTTTGGCATAATTCATTAATCATAATCAATTTTGACAAAACTGACCTTAATATTATGATATATTTCAAATATATTATGTAGGTTCAATTATATTATCAGATTGCTGTATACTAGTTTATGTTACTATCTATCAGTATTGAATATGATTATACCTATCGTCTACAATAAAACAGCTTATTGATAAACATTAGGTGAAATATTGTACATATTATAGTACAGATGTATATTTATTCGAGACTATTTTTACATCATTTTCTAAAACAGTACTTAATAAGAGTTTCTTTATAAAATTTGACCTTTATTTCGGGTTAACGAATTACAAATATTATTAATCAGATTAGATTTCAAGCATAGATGTGAAAAAAAAACACTACTTAGTAATAAAGACCAACCACTATTGATTTGAAGAAGACATTTTCTACCCATAATTATTCATTTAATTATAATTAGTGAAAGAAAATATCTTTAGTGTATTATATCGTGTTAAGATAGAAACCGATCATTTTTATTAGGATGATATTTAAGATATGTTTTAAGTTTTTATTAGAAACTCTTTACATGATTTTTATTAAGAAATATCATAAGGAATTTTATGAGTATTTTTGTTTTACGTGACATGATATTTTGCGTGACTCAATGTTATTTAGAATATATTCTGTTCAAAATCAAAAACTACAATCATATAGAGTGTAATATTAGAAAATAAATTGTCTTCAGTATATCACATATTCATGGGGTATATCATATATGGGGTATATCAAATATTCATGGGTTACTAAGTAAATAACTTATTGATATATGAATTATTTCATACGCAATACGAGTTTTTTTTAATTTTAAGAATTATTTGTAGTGTTAGTTGCTATGTCAAGCCTACACAGTTTATTCTAGCTTTCGGACAGATCAGTTCTTTCAATTTTTTGAGTTACATTTTAACCTTGTTAATTATTCACTTATCAATATTGACTGTTTTTATGTAATTGTATATGTGTGCATTTCTTATCTTACTTATCATATGTCTTTAACTTATTTTTGTTTGACTATAAATATCGATTCACTCTTGCTTCAACTGAGTTGGCTAACACGCCTTCTCCATTGAGCGTCATTTTATTTCTCTCTCCTCCCTTTGCTTCGCCTCTCTGACTGTGTACAAAATATATGTATTTAAAATTTATTCTCGTATTTGACTTGCTTAATTCTATTAGTCCCAACGCGATTTAAGCCGATGATGATCTACGAGGATCGTAGACATATATTATTAATTAAAAGATGCATACATGTTACGAATTAAGTAAAATTATTATCGAATATTTTTATTCTGGTCCATAACTTAATTCTGTACACCATTGTTTTTGTATGTTGACATGCTATTACGTTCAGTCAAAATTACTCATGTATAAATGTTTGGAGCTACATCAGAAAATTAATAATAAAGATGTTAGAAAATGACATCATTTGGTTATCATTAGTCAGATATCGCGAACCAAATATGAACGTAGTGACTAAAATGCTGTTTACTGTTTCACTTGATGTCTACTCTGATATAACTTACATATCTGAAGAGTTTCAGATTGTCCATCAATCTCTTTATTTATTTCAATGCTTCATCTACTTTGTACAAATAACTTAGCCTATCAATTAGTATAGGTCGGAAAACTTTATAAAGACAATTATAAATAATGGTGTTAATGAGGATGTTGATGAATTACTCAACCAAATGATGATGCAGAACTCCTCGGAATCCTAAGATAGTAAGTAAACACCAATTACATGTCATTTATGAAACGTTGCTTCAACTAAAACAATGATAAGTAATGCATACATATTCATGTTTTAAGTCTAAAAACAAGATGTTAACCAGTATGAATTACTAAAGATTGATAACCAATACCATAGAGACACATAAGCGAAACAACACTCTTTTTTAAAATATTGGTATTATCTGGTTTGATGTTATAGTATTACATTATGTTCTATCAAACCTAATAGATAACAAAACTTCTGAAAATTTGTCTTAAAATATTAGTTCAATTAGAGTTTCACTGTTTTAGTTGACAAAGACGAACGATTTCTAACACAGTTACTATTTGAAATATAATATTGATATATAAGGTAAATAATAGTTTTACTAAATAAAATTTTTTTAAAAATGTAAACTTACCTTACATTTTCGAGGTAACTATTAGTTTGCCAAGAAAACACTCCAACAAAACTAGGTTATGGAAGCCAAAATATTAGTATTATTCCACTGGAGCTATACTCCGCGAATTATTTTAATTACTCAAATGTTTATGGTAATACAGCAATTTAGAGATTGATATCACAATAGGTATCTATTCCGCTTTATCGAGAAATAAACACAAGATTGTTAATAAAGCAAGTTTTTGTGCATGATATTTTCAGTGAATAATAACTTAGTGGTCATAATAATTTCATGGGAACTTTGTTGCGAAGCTTAAGTGGATAAAATCAAACATAATGTCACGAATTTCATGTTCATTTTAAATAAAGGTGTCATGCTTAGTAGATTACATAAATAAAATATCTAAATCAAGTATTAGGCTTCACAATGGTTGACACTTATTAGCAAGAATTATCTATAATCTTGTGATAGACGGTGTTCTTCAATAGACCTCTTCAAACTGGATTATAAAGACGCTTTCTCCAGTGGCTACATTACAATTTGAAGTAGACTTCCATTGACACTACAAATAAACACCACTTACTGATCATTTCATATAAATTTGGCTAGAATAGAAATAATGATATGAAAGTATTGTTTAAGATTATATCTGTTAATGTGTATCTTCATTCAATACTGTTACTCTGATGAAAAGCATAAATGTTGCTATCTAAATTCTTTCACATGCAAAATTACACATACAATAAATGTACCAATAACTATTCTTTAAAGTTTACTTAAATATATAAACAATTTGGATTTGTAAGTCGTTTGTAACCGAAATGTCAATCAATTTCAAATGTTCACAACATATGTCCAACTTGTTGAAAGAATTATATCACCGGTTTCATCATGCTGAATATAATCAACTAGGAATAAAAATCGTAAGCACTACAGACTTTGTTTTTAAAAAAAAGTGCTTTGTCGACCAGTTTAGCATCAAATAATTTTAGATTACATATCAATAGTGTAAATGATCATAAATCTCAGAATCTATGGTCAATAGTTACTTCATTTCATAGATATTAAGCTATAAGGAAAATAAAGAATATTTTGAACAGTATAGAAGGTCATAATAGTTTACATTTTGTAGTTCTAGTGGATACACTTTCTAATTAAAAAACGTTTATGGTATACAGTGATGAAACAGCTTTGTATATATTAACTGATACAAAATTGTGGATAAAAAGTACTATAACGGAAGTATGGAATTTACGTATTTCGAATGTG